TAGAAGGCGCCCGCCTTACGTCTATAGAGAAGGCCCGCGCCTTCTAAGACGCAGGGGTGGCTCTATTGAAGCCCTCCCCCCCTCCTCCCCCCCCCCCCCCCCCCCTATCGCGTGGCTGATCCCTTCTGGCCTCGGCATCCGCCCCCTTCCCTGCTCCTGCCCACCTCTGCCTTCTCGCCCGCCTCGCTTCCGCGCCGCGTCGCTCTCGCCACCCCCTGCCGCCGCATCTCCTGGTCTTCCCTCCCCATCCGCTCGCTGCTCTCCGCCAGTCGCGCCGCTATGACCGCCGCGGCGCGAAGCGTTTAGCGCCCGAGGTAATAATGTGTTGCTGGCGTGGGTGTTTTTTTGGTTTGTCTTGCGCTTTGTGTGGAGCCCGTTTTGCTAGAAGTCTCAAGGAGCGCGAACCGTCTGGTCTGCGGTGAAGGAGGGACGTCCCCTGCCGATCGTTCCCCTGCCAGACGCAGCACGAGCATTGACCCACCTCAGTTCTGCCAGCAGGTGGTCGTAGATGTCCGGAGCCAGCACGATCAGCGAGGAGCCCGAGTCGATCAGTGCAGGAGAGCCCAGAGTGCCCTTGTCAGGGAAATCCTTCTCGACACCAGTGCCACCCCAACCGATTGACCACACGCTGGTCAGCCAAAGGCTGGTGTGTGTCATGTAGTAGCCCTTTCCGTACTGGAACTTCGTCTCCTCCAGGAAAACTGAAGGCATTCCCAGCCCCCAGTACGGGTGCTGTGCTACAACATCTTTCCTCCTCTCCCCCCTCGAAGGTGCTCTTTGGTAAGGATGAGGAGAAGGCAGCCGTGTGGGAAATGATCGAGTAACCAGCCTCGGTCTTATCCCAATCCCCAAGACTGACAGCCCAAAGGCGATGATAATCTCAGAGACGCACCCTCAGAAACTGAGGGAGTCCTCAAGATCGGCATCGAGATCGGGTGACGCCAATCATGAGATAGGGGCATGTTCCAGATTAGTAGTGGAGAGGGGCGAGGAGATAGAGTTAGGCCGGGCATGTCTTCCTACAGGCAGATTTTGGACGAAAAATGACAGTAAACAAAAAGATATTCAAAAATAGCTCCAACAACAAAAAACGTCTCCAGGCGATTTGGAATATTCTGGAAGACTCCCCCTGTAGGGGGGCACGCCCGACTTACAGATAGAGAGAGAGAGGGTGAGGGGGGGCCGAGAGGAAGATGGGAGGCAGACCCCGAGACCCGACCTCGCGACTGGTGCAAGCTCGTGCCACGTGACGACCAAGAGCCCCACAGCCCTCCTCCTCCTCCTCCTCTTCCTCCTCCTCCTCCTCGTCTTCCTCCATCTCCTCCTCCTCCTCCTCCTCCTCCGCCTTCTACTCCTCCTCCTCCTCCTCCTCGGACTCCTCCTCCTCCTCCTCATCCTCCCCCTCCTCATCCTCCTCTTCCTCCTCCTCCTCCCCCTCCTTCTCCTCGTCCTCCCTCCTCCTCCTCCTTCCTCCTCCTCATCATCATCATCCTCCTCCTCCTCCCTCCCCCTCCTCCTCCTCCACTCCTACTCCTTTCCTCCTCTCCTCCTCCTCCTCCTCCTCCTCCTCGGACTCCTCCTCCTCCTCCTCCTCATCATCATCATCATCATCCTCCTCTTCCTCCTCCTCCTCCTCATCCTCCATTCCTTTTCCTTATGAATAATTTCTCCCTGTCGCACGCCGAGGCCAGTTGTTATGGCGGTCAGGGCGTTTCGCCTCAGACTTCCTCAAAATTGCGGACTCTGAAACTTGAAACTTGGCAACAGCTTCACATATGGAGGGTGGGTAGTTTTCAAAATGTGGCTCTCGCCTTAGCGCGGCGCACATTCATGCTAAACAGTTGCAAGGGATTCACGGATTGAGGGCGGGTCGTTTTCAAAATGTGGCTCTCGCCTTAGCGCGGCGCACATTCGTTTCAAACACTCGCAAAGAGTTTCACGGATTGAGGGCGGGTCGTCTTCAAAATGTCGCTCTCGCCTCAGCGCGGCGAGCATTCGTTTTAAACATTCGCAATGAGCTTCACGGATTGAGGGCGGTTCCTTTTCAAAATGTCGCTCTCGCCTTAGCGCGGCGCACATTCGTTTTAAACATTTGCAAAGAGTGTCACAGATTGAGGGCGGTTCCTTTTCAAAATGTGGCTCTCGTCGTAGCGCGGCGCACATTCGTTTTACAAATTTGCAAGGTTGCATGGATTGAGGGCGGGTCGGTTTCAAAATGTGTCTCTCGCCTTAGCGCGACGCACATTCATTTAAACATGTGCGAAGAGTTTCACGAATTCCCATCATCGACATACCAGAAATCGTGTTTTGGAAGGATTCAGGATTATGCGGGTGCAACAGTAACTTTGATTCCCTGCGTTGAAGTCCTAGGCATGGCGTTCGGGCACGATTCGGGATCGTCAAGACGCAGCAGTCAGGTTGATACGTGGCATTGGAATCCCGACAACAATGTTCTGGCATGCTTCAGGGTCTTCAAACGGGCGTCTTCCAACGAGGCAGTTCCATCAATAGAGATGAACTGTTGTAGGGGCCTATGAAGAGGGAGCTTGGACAGAGGGTTTACTCCAACATCGTTGATGACTATTGGGTTTACACTGGTCCTCCTCCTCCTCCTCCTTCTCCTCCTCCTCCTCCTCCTCCTCCTCCTCCTCCTCCTCCTCCTCCTCATCCTGCGCTCGTATCGGGCCTCTCCTCCCCTCCTCCTCCTCCTCCTCCTCCTCCTCCTCCTCCCTCCCTCCTCCTACTTCCTCTCACTCCTCCTTCCTCCTCCTCCTCCTCCTCCTCCTCCCTCCTCCTCTCCTCCTCCTCCTCCTCCTCCTCCTCCTCCCTCCTCCTCCTCCTCCTCCTCCTCCTCCTCCTCCTCCTCCTCCTCCTCCTCCTCCTCCTCCTCCTCTCGATGCCCGATCGATATGAAGGCCCTGGGGCCCCGGAAACGGGCGCGGAAGTGCCCAGCGTGAAGAAGGAGGCAGCGCCCAGACCTCGGGGGGAGGAGCAGGTCTGGGGGGGGACGCCCCGACGCCCAGGGCGTCCCGCTCGGTCCTTGGAGTACGCCGTGAGGTTGGCCTCGCCGAAGATGAGGCGGGACTGCTGCTCCGTGGTGCCCGTGAGGTAGAACGAGAACTGCTGCGTCAGGTGGGGGTGCTCCTCGACGGAGGGGGAGGAGGAGGAGGGGGAGAAGGAGGAGAAGGAGGATGAGGAGGAGAAGGAGGAGAAGGAGGAGGACGAAGAGGAGGAGGACGAGGAGAAGGAGGAGGAGGAGGAAGAGGAGGAGAAGGAGGAGAAGGAGGAGGACGAGGAGGAGGAGGAGGAACAGAAAGAGGAGGAGGACGACGACGAAGACGACGACGACGACGAGAGCGAGGGCGAAGACAAGAACGAGGACGAGGACGAGGACGAGGACGAGGCGGGGGGTGAGACGGAAGGCGGAGGAGGAGGAGGAGAAAAAGGAAGGAGAGGGGGAAGGAGGGTTCCTGGAACAGGGTCTTCATAAAGGTGGGTCCCCGCGACGTCTTGTCTGAGACGTAGTGGTGAGCCAGGCCCAGAATACCGTCGGATTTCATGTGGGTATCCGACTCCATCTTGTCAACCTGGATCAGGAACTGATGCTTCACCTCTGAAGGAACAGAAAGCGACAGAAGCAAGTATGTGTCGCTGCAGTACAGACGGGTCCCCCTCAACAGCAAAAACTCCAAACACCCATCAAGGTGAGGAGGGCCGAACGTTCTCTCCCCGTCCCTGGGCGCGCGGCGTGGCCGAAGGGCGGCTCCATAGCCCGGATTGCTGCCAATATCACTGTTGCTGCCGTCGTCGTCACCGTTCCGCAGCCCGCAGCCTCGACCGCTGCCCAAGGCCCGCGCCCCGAAACCCGTCCCACACGACCCGCGCCCACGCCCACGCCCACGCGCCCACGACCCGCGCCCGCGAGCCGCGCACAACGGCCGGTCGCCTGCGCCCGCGCGCCCGCGCCGCGGACCCCGCGCGCCGCGACTGCGACCCGCTGCGCCGCGCGGCCGCGACCCGCGGCCGAGGGCCCGCACCCGCGACCCGCGACCCGCCCGCGACCGGCCTGCGACACTCCCGCGACCCGCCCGCGACCTGCTCACTGCGAGGCAGGACCAGCGCCCACAGCAATCGTGATGGGCCTGCATGCTCTAGTTTGGCCCCATGCGCCCCCGCGCACCAGAGGCCACTACAGCGAAGGGCCCTTACAACGTGCAGCCGGTCCTCCTCCTCCTCCTCCTCCTCCTCCTCCTCATCATCATCATCCTCCTCCTCTTCCTGCTCATCCCCCTCCTCCTCCGCTGCCCAAGCGAACCCCACGACCCGCGTGCGGCCGGTGGTCATGCGGCGTCCCGGTGGCCTTCCAGCCACCTGAGGCGCGTGGACGAGCCCAGCGCCGGCGGCAGGATCACCCTTGCGCTGGTGGAGCGCCAGCATCCACGAGCCGCCTGTGGCCTGCCCAGGACTTGCCTGCCGCATCGATGGCGCTCGCGGCGGCCCCGCCTCGCTCGTGAAAAAACGCCGCTCCGAACACGGCCACGCCACGACCCCGCGGCTCGACCAGTGCTGGCCTGCCCGCCGCCACGGCTCTCCTCACTGGATCTGAGCGAAGGCCCCCCCGCGCGGGCAGGTGCGAATCTATTACCCCGCCCCGCCAGCCCCGTCTCTGGGCAGGGCCCCTCACTCTTAGCCTTGGTCGTCCCCAAACATGGTGGCGACAGCACCCGGTGGTGAGTCTCGGGAGACTTGGTGTCGCCACACGATTTGGGGACTCGCGTGCTTTTTCGAGGATGTCTCGAACGCTGGTGGGTCCAGGAGTCACAAAAAGCCCGGTGGTGACCCTGTGTCCCAAAACCTGGCGGTAACTTTTGGAGGATTTCAGGTCACCATCTGATGTTTCACCGCCTAGTTTGGGGGATCCCGATAACCCACAGCTGCGGGGTCTGGTTGTTGTTGCGCCTGCGCTGGCGCGCTCCCTCCCCCCCCGCGGAACCGTCAGATCCCCGATAATGATGGTGTCCTCGAAGGAGCCGCCGAGGGCCATCGTGCCATCGCCGTACCTGAACGTAATGCGGTCGCCGAGCTCCTTCGCGGTGCAGGACTGGTTGAGATGGAACTTCTTGGTTTTGCCTTTGCACCTCGTGCAATTCTCCGCCGGAACCCACAAGTCGGAGCTGCCCGTGTCCGGCACCACCTTGGGGAGAGCAGAGAACGCAACCCGACTTACGCGCTACGTTGGCGCTTCCAACGGTCTGGAGGGGGGAAAGGAGGAGCGAAGTGTGGAGCAGGGATCGAGAACGCTGCGCTCCTCTGGGTGCACCGGAGCCACCGCGTGCGCGATGCCCTGTGCATCCCAGCACAAGGGCAAGAGAGCATCATGAAGGCAGTTGGGCCCTCGGCAGGCGACGATGAGCGGGAGGGAGCCGGAGGGTGATCGGGAGGAGGAGGAGCAGGAGCAGGAAAGGCAGCAGCAGCATCGGCAACAGAGGGAACGCGTGAGCCTTTCCCCATGCGACGAGGCCGCGCCGTGAGGTGCGGTGGGCCCCGCCGCGGCTCTCGGAGACCCGCCCGTGCCAGCGGACCCCCATTCACGCACCCCGACTGGGAGAGGCGAACCATGCGGACATCATGAGCAGCTTCCACCACACTCTCAGCACAGCCACACCGGAAGACGGAAGGCGCCCTCGAGGGCACGAGGCCCCTCCGAGGGAAGCAGGGCACGAGCACGGTAGAGGACGGCTGGCACAGAAATCGACGGACTCTGAGGAATGAGAGCAACATGAATTTTGCAGCACCGACCTACTCGTTGTTCGCGAATGCCTGGCTGCATCATCATCATTGCCTTACCTTACCATGTGCGCATGATAGCGGAAGGGCAATGATTGGCTCCAGCTTACAAGCTTCCTAACGGCGGGTGTGTGCAGCACTGTATAGACTCTGCCACCCGGGATACATTTCCAAGACGATCGCAGGCACCGAAACAAGCAGACTCGTCGTTACGGACGGAACTAGAAGATCATTATCTCAACAGGTAGCCATCAAGCAGTACAATTGACGAGCCATGGTAAACTCCCTCTCCTCTTCACAATGTGTAGCGGCGAGAATAAGTGTCAAGACAGGCCCCGCATAGTTGACAGGTTGCGGCGCGTGAGGCTGCGTGCAACGCCATATGCAGAAACTCAACTTGTTCAAGCGACTGACATATTGTGTGCGCCATGCGGCATCATACTGCTCGTGCCTGCAGAAGGGGGCACCGTGAATAGAGCCCCTGAAGCGGTCTTGAAGCGAGCACTGCAAAACAGTTCCAGCCACCCATCCTTCACCGTCCCCACTCCGCCCCTCGCCCTTTCTCATCCTCCACTCCACATCTGTGGCATGCGTCCGCACCTGTGGCGAAGCGGCCGCAGGCGGGGGGGGAGCGGGGCCCTTCGTCTCGTCAGCACTAGGGCCCCCCCACGCCAGGGCTCTGGCAGGAGACGGGGCGACCGCGGAGCCCATCGATCGAGTGCCTCATGCGCCCCTGCGGCGCGCCGGCAGCGGCGGGGGCGCGGCAGCGCTGCACTGCTTCCCGCCACCGACGCGCATGCAGTGGAGCTTCTCGTTCTAGGACGCTCAACCCAGGCCCCCGACGTCGGGATCTTTCCACAACGTCGACCCCAAAAGGTCTCGACCCACTCCCAAAACACTGGCTCTGAACCGTTTTTTGACGGTCCTGGGGGCCCAGCAAGGGCCCCCGGAGGCCGCAAATTGGGAGAAACCTCCCGTCATGATTTTTTCGTGACCCAGGGGGAGAGGAGGAGGAGGAGGAGGAGGAGGAGGAGGAGGAGGAGGAGGAGGAGGAGGAGGAGGAGGAGGAGGAGGAGAGGAGGGGGAGGAGGGAGGAGGAGGAGGAGGAGGAGGAGGGGGGGGGAGGAGGAAAGCGAGGAGCGGGGAGGCGGAGGCGGAGGCGGAGGGAGGAGGAGGAGGAGGAGGAGGAGGAGGAGGAGGAGGAGGAGGAGGAGGAGGAATGGAGGAGGAGGTGGAGGAGGGGAAGAAGGGGAGGGAGGAGGAGGAGAAGGAGGAGGAGGAGGAGGAGGAGGAGGAGGAGGAGGAGGAGGGGAGGAGGACGAGGAGGAGCAGGAGGAGGAGGGAGGGACGGCGCGGAAAATGCGGGCCAGCCACCGAGAGAGGGGGAGAGAGCGCCCCCAGGGAGGGGGCCGGCAGCGTTCTGCGAGCCGAGCGAAGACGACGGCAGGGGCAGGGGGCGGCACAGGAGCGAGGCGGTCGACGCTGGCGGAGGCAAAAGGACCACCCTACCCCCCCGCTCGCCCTCGCCCCTCCCCGCCCCCGCCCTCCCCCCCCCCTCGCCCTCCCCCCTCGCCTTCCCCCGCCTGGACCGCCCTCCCCACCCACCCCCCTCGCCCTCCCCCCACCCTCTCATCCTCCGCCTCCCGCCCCGAAGCCCAAGGAGCCTGGAACTTCTGCCAGAGGGTGGAGTTGTCGCAGGGCTCACCGACGGAGATCTCCAGGTGGTACCTTGGGCAGGGCCGCCCTCCTCCTGCTCCTCCTCTTCCTCCTCCTCCTCCTCCTCCTCCCTCCTCTGCCTCCTCCTCTCCTCCTTCCTCCCTCCTCCTCCTCCTCCTCCTCCTCCTCCTCGTCCACCCCCCTCCTCCTCCTCCTCCTCCTCCTCCTCCTCCTCCTCCTCCTTCTCCTCCTCCTCCTTCTCCTCCTCCTCCTCCTCATCCCCGCACCCCGAAGCCAGTCGGAAGAGCAGGTCGGGCGTTTCGCCTGACACGTCCTTACCGCTTTTGCGCCTTAAGCCTGAAACTCGAAACAGACTCATTGATGGAGGGCGGGTCTTTTCAAAATGTGACTATCGCATTAACGCCGCGCACATGCGTTTAAAATATTAACAAGAGCTTCACGGATTGAGGACTGGTCGTTTTCAAAATGCAAAATGTGGTTCTCGTTTTAGCGCTGCGTATATTCGTTCTATAAAACCGCAAGAGTTTCATTTATTGAAGGCGGCTTCTCTTCAAAATGTGGCTCCCGCCACAGTGCTACACACATCTGTTGACAATTGTTCAAAGACCTTCACGGATTGAAGGCGGCTCGATTTCAGAATGCGGCTCCCGCCTGAGCACCGTGCAGAAAAGAGTCAGGACTGTCAGGGCGCAAAAGTTCGGTTGATTCGCGGTGTCGAAATCCGAGGAATGATGTTCTGGCACGATTCAGGATCGTCGAGACTCACAGTCAGGCTGACTAGTGGCGTTGAAGTCCTGAGAATGGTGCCTTGACACGCGTCAAGATTTTCACGCGGTTGTCCCCCAACGGGGCATTTCCCTCAGTGGAAATGAACTCTCGTAGTGGCCTATTAAGAGTGAGTTTGGACGGAGGGTGAATTCCAACATCGTTGATGAGTCTTGGATTTCTACTGGTCCTCCTCCTCCTCCTCCTCCTTCTCCTCCTCCTCTGCCTCTTCCTCCTCCTCCTCCTCCTCCTCCTCCTTCTCCTCCTCCTCCTCCTCGCCTGGCAGCACCTAAACTCGGCCACGAAAAACTCGCCAGCGGAACTCGGCCCGCTGACTTCGGCCACGCTGAACTCGACCAGCCAAACTCGGCCAAAATTCAACTCGGACCACACTGAACGAGGCCAGACTGAATTCGGATACTCCAGATTTCGTAATAAAGGGAGGGGGGTCTCATTTCGGGGGGGGTCTCTTCCAGGCTATCTTGGAGGGCCTGGGGGGTTCTGGGGACGATGTTTTGGAGGGTTCTCCCACGGGGGGGGGGTCTGAAATGGCTTGTCTTGGAGGGTCCAGACCCCCTCCCTTTTATTACGAAATCTGGAGTAGCAACCTGAGCGCAGCCGGCCGGAATGGTGAGCCCGGCCCGCTGAAGTCAGGCAGCGCTCCTGCTGAGGCGTGAGCACCGGGTGAAATGGGCCAGCTGAACTCAGTCAACTGAAGTCGCCCAGAGAAACTCGGCCGGAGAGAAACTCGGGATGAGAAAAACTCGGACAGAGAAACTCGGCTGGGACACAGATGGACATACTCGTACTGTGCGTCCTCCTCGAGACGTGCGTCCGACCAGAACAAATGGCACAGCCATCTTGTAGTGTTTTTTGCACGGCGAACACCCAGCCGATTCACTCTTCAATGCGTCCACAGCGGGCTGCAGGAATAGAGCCTGGAGCGATACGACTGAGTCCCTAAAACGTATCAGCGCTTGGGGGTAGAGGACAAGGATGCGAGCGCATGCAGCTTGGCGCCGATTGCAGCCGGCTCCCAGTTCGCAGAAACGACTCACCCAGGCTAAAAACAGGACAAACTGCCGCTGTGCACTGCTGGCGCTGGCCAGGGTAGACAAATCCTGACCCCCTTGCGACCCACCAAGGCATGCTGAAATGGGCTACCAGTGACAGTTTGCAGGCTATGCTGCGCCACAGCACGTCCCACTGGGGGGAGGAGGCACAAGAGCACGAGAGAGGCGGAAGGCGGCGAGGAAAACACCGGAACAGAACTGGAAAGCCTTGAAGGCGAGATCACAAGTACCTCAACAACTGAAGTAGTGCACCGAGGAGCTTCATGAGCCCAAATATGTTGCTTGTAAGAGGTCGAACCTCCGCCACGAGCCGCGTCGCGGCAGAGGTGTCCAAAGGCCGCCGTGCCCCGTTGCCGCGGCCAGGGAGGGCGACACGCTGCACGCGGGCGGCGACTCCGCAGCGACGGCGGTAGAGCAACAGCAAGGCTCCGCCAATTCCGGCAATTACTCCGCAGGCGGCCAAGGAGCAGCCGACAGAATCTCAGAGGCAGCAGGAGACAATCCCCTGGACTGGCACCGAATGCCGACTCTGGGTTTCTTAATAAGCGTGGGGGGCTGGGGGTCAGCCTCGCCTCGTCGTCGCGCCACGACGGGGGCTGGAGCGCCTTCGGCGCGCGGTGGCTGCCCGCGACGGGGGTCGATGTGGGGCTGTCGGCGGGAGTGACGCCCCCCGACGCTCATCAAGAAGCTCGGAGTAGGGAGGCATGGCCTGCCCGTACTCGAGAGGAGCAAGGGGCGACAAGGAGGGCGACAGCCACCTTGTGGTGTATCGCTTGCCGAATGTTATGGCCAGCAAGCGCCCGCCACGGAGCTTACACTCTGAGATGTCTCGGCGCGCGCGCGTCGCCCCCGGGAGGGGGAACGCAAACGCAGTGTTAGCATATATTGGAGTGGCGCCGACTGGCCACGCTGAGCTCGGCCGGCGATCCAGAAGCACCGGGACGATCGCGCTGGACAGGCGCCACGGTGTCTCGAGGAAGCGCGCGCGAGGGCGCCGGACTCCGCGCTGCCACTGCCGAGGGGAGGGCCGGCGGCACGGAGAGGAGCACGGAGACGTCCAAGGACAAGGAGAGGCGGACACGCAGCAGGAGCAGGACGAGGACAGGAGGGGACGAGCGCGGCCAAGGAGAAGGACGACGGCGAAGCAGGGCGGAGGCATGAGCAATGAGGAGCACGTGGCAAGAAGTACGCGTGGCTACGACAACGTTTTGCAGCCACGCAAACTTCCTGCTGTATTGAATGATTCCACCCTCAAGGCTTATGTTGCTCCCATCGTACTTAAGAACCACATCCCAAAAACAATTCCGAGCACCTGGAAAAGTGTCGAAATAGTGTCGAAGCAATGTCGGACGAGTTGTCTCCCAGGGCCCGACACGTGAAAACCCTCGAGTTTCGGTACTGTTTTGGTGCTCGAAATTATTTCTGGTGATCAAGGCTAAAGTAGGTTGGGACATCATAACTCAAGGCAGGAAATTTGTGTCGTCCTCGTCATCGGTGCCATCATCGTCAGCGCCGTCGTCGTCGTCGCCCTCGTCCTCGTCGTCGTCCTCGTCATCCTCCTCGTTGTGGTCGTCGCCGTCGTCGTCGTCCTCCTCCTCGTCGTGGTCGTCATCGTCGCCGTCGTCGCCGTCGTCGTCGTCGTCGGTGGCGTCGTCGTTCTCACTGTCGTCGCCGTCGTCGTTGTCGTCCTCGCCCTCGTCGTCGTCTCCCCTATGGATGTCCTATTGCATGGATTGCACACTACTTCAATGTCCCGCTCGACCTGGCATCTCCCAGTTAGGGTCCGCCATCCCGATCAATCCGTTAGGGTCCGCTCGCTCAACCCTCGCCCACCCGAAATGCCCGTGAGGGCCCGCCGGCCCAACCCACTCGCCCATCAGGGTCCGTCAGCCTGACCCGCTCGTTAGGGTCGTCGTCGCGGTCGTCGCCGTCATAGCGGTCATCGTTGTCGTTGCCATTGTCCTCGTCGGCGTTGTCGTTGTCACCCTCGTCGTCGTCGTCGTGTCCCTCGACGTGATCGTCGTCATCGTCGTCGTCCTCGTCGTCTTCGTCGCCCTCGCCGTCGTCGTCGTCATTGTCCACGTCGCCGTCGTCATCGTCCACGTCGTCGTCGTCGCCCTCGTTCATGGCTTCTTTGATGGATTGCGCACCGCTTGAGTGTCCCGCCCGACCAGACCCGCCCGCCCATCAGGGTCCGCCCGCCCGACCCGCACGGCAAGGTCCGCTCCCGACCAGCCTTGGGACCCACGAGCAGTTTTTGCACGCACGGGTCTCACACATTGCTGCGGTCGAGCCGTACAATGCTGTGGGCTTGAAAGTCTATGCCTTACTTCGGCCCCAATCTAAGAGCATCCGACCGCGGGGAGGAGGAGCAGGAGGAGGAGGAGGCGGAGGAGGAGGAGGGGGAGGAGGAGGAGGAGAAGCCATTTGGGCTCAGGCCATTTTGGCGGAGCTCGTGGTCTTAGGCGTCTTGGGTCTGGGCGGCACAGCTGCTGGTGACTGACCTGAGCGCGCAACGGCGCCCTCAGAACCAAGCTGGCATAAGCGCCAGCGTGCCAAGCGAGGACGTGCGCGCCTTGTCTTGGCGCTCGCGAAAACTACTGTCGTATTGCAGGATCATCGTTCCTACGACATGACTGCTAGGCCTCACTCCAAAGGCCCGCTGGATGCAGGCAGAAGATGGCAGTGCGTCAATTGCAATCGGAGTGTGAACGGTCATCATTGGAAGTGCCTGTGTGGTCAGCATTTTGACAGAAATTATTCGAAAGATGGACCATATCAACAGGCGCAGCAACAACGAGATCGTGCCCCCTCGAGATCCAGAGGAGGCCAAAGGAATTCAGAGCCAGAGATCAAAGACTTGGATGTGAAAATGTTCTTAGCACGTAGTGTTCCAGCATCCAGGACAGACGTAGTCGACATTGATTGGTATGAGGCTCCCCCAAACACAAGCAGAGAACGACGAGAATTTCGCAACAAGTCAAAATGGATAAGTTAGCCCGTTTGTGTATAGCACCCAAAGCAGCCAACAAATCAGTTGATGCCACTCTCTTCGAATTGTCGATATATCAGCTCATGGACAGTCAATGCTTCTCTGTAACCAAGCAGCTTAATTATATGCGCAACATGAAAGTGGTGTACACTGACAAAATAAAAGATATTCGGGAAAAATGAAGCAGTTGTCCTTAGCAGAGCATGAAGCAAATGATGAAT